GCTGTGTATTAAAAAAGAGTCAAGCTTCTTCACTGAGAACAACTTAGTTGTAACTGAAATGGAACTGTAAGTGACTGGTAGTGCTGTAATTTTCTAGTGTAAAAGTCTTGTCTTGCCTGTAGAAACTGTGTGCATTCCTTTTGCTCTGTTGAAAGGGCTTCTTTTTGTCTTGTATGCCATTCTCTCACAACCTGCTAAAGCTAAGCCAGTTTGGAAAATGGCATGGGAACTGTGTACCTGAAATACTTTTAAAATATGAATTGTATGAACAAAGGGAATGAACTTGTTTTAGTCTAAATGTGTTTGCTATTTGTTGTTCATTCTTTTTGTCACTCTGATCTTTAGGGTAGTTCCTCTTGCACTGCTAATATAAAGGCCACTAGGCAAACCATGTGGGGGGATCATTTAATGTGAAATCACAGAAAGTTTTTATAACAGTGCCTTACTGGTGGATATGAAGCAGAAGAAAACTTCGAGTAATTGCCCACATATGGCCCTTTTCACGCAAGCTCAGTCTTATAGCAAAGTTCTGAAGTGGTGATCTGAATTGACAAGTATACAGTACGTGTATCTAGCTATTTTATGTTCTCTATAGTCTGCTATTTCACAAACTTCTCATAATTCATTCAAGCAGGGAAGTGGTTTGTGATTAAAGCTGTCTATTCCAATGTAGTAATGCATCTTTGCTAATAGTGAGGCTGAAGCCTAAAAAGAACAGTGTGGGGATCCCTACTTCAGTGCAGGTTCATCTAACTCAAACTAAAAGTGCCTTCCTTGCCTAGCTAATGCTATAATACTTTTTAGTAAGTGTGATGCTTTAACTGTTGCCATTAATACTCTTCTGAATATATTAATTCTATTTCTACTTCAACCAATACCTTGATAGTTTAGCATAGCCCAAGCTCCTCTTACTGAGTAGTGGCTTAGTCCCAGAAACCATTCAGTGGCTGCTGACAGAGTAAACATTGGGGGGACGGGGGGAGGGCGGGAAATAATACAAATAGTTCTGGAAAATTGAATTGCAAACAGATAATGTTCTACAGTTTTAGCAGTTGCAAAACACTGTAATCCAAAGGAAAGGACTTTATAGCAGAGGCAGCTTTTAGACCTTTCCAAGCCAGACAAGATGTGTGTTTCCGTATTTTTGGGAAGCACTTGATACTTTAGGGAGAGGAGCATGTGAAGTGTCTCATAATTCAAGCCTTAAGGCTGTGAAATTGTAGGCGGCTAAGGCAAACTTCTGTCCATATGATTGTATTCAAATGAGGGGTTTGGGTAATTCTGCCTAGTTCGAAGGGAATGCATGGCATCTTAACTTAAAGCCAGTGTTTAATTTGTTCATCTCAAAAGAATCTGCATGGAAATACGTATGTAAGGGTTCTTGATTTTTTTTTTTTTAAAGGTTGAACTGTGTTTATTAATGTCTTGTTCCTGTCCTATTCATGACTGTAGAGATCAGTTTGCCTCTGTCTGTAACTGTATGGCATCTTTGTGGCAACTACGTAGTTAATAAAATGGCAAAAGAATGTCTTTTGGCACCTGAAAGAATGTAAAGCAAGCAACATTTGACCAGCCTGTTCCTCAGACCGCTACAAAACACAGTAAGGGAGCGTACTGGGTTAACAGGGAAGAGACTGAGGTATTTCATTTTTGGAAACAATACTAGGAAGGAGACATTTAAACTCAAAACAAGGATGGTCTGTCTTCCTTCTGTATTTTTTTGTCGTCTTACCTGTAGACTGGTCTTGCATCAAAAAGAATATTGTTAACGGTATTCTCATCTGACAGTTGCACAATAGCCATGTAAAGATAAATGTCCTTGCCCCACATAATTATCTACACCCAAAATGCAAGCTACTAGGTAAACAAATTGCTTCCTAATTTGTTGCTAAAATGGTAATGACTTGCATTCATTGCGAGTTGCTGTAAGGCTGCAAGAGCTTACAGGACTTCGTTGACCACTCAAGGATTTTTTAGAAATGCCCAGTGAAATGCAGCATAAGCTAGGAAGCTAAGTTTTGGAGCCCATGAGATGGAACTTGCTGAATCTGATTCCTCTGGCACTGTTCTTGTGGAGAAGGCAAATTAACGGTTGGTTTGTGGTATTGCTAGTTTAGAGGCCCTGTGGGTTAGAAGTCAGCCTCGAGAATAGCACTAATACCATGTTATCTTAGTGTGATCCGCCAGTTTTTTAGTCCTGGTACCTGAGGACTCTTCTCTTCAGGAGCATATGAAAACTAGTTTGAGATGGTGAAAATAAGACTGTGTGCTGCTGCCATGCAATAGGGCAATTTGCAAGTCTGTCTGAAGTTTGAGGTACAGACCATCTTTGAATCTCCTCACTATTTAGTAGTAGTGGCATAAAAAACTTGCTGTCTAGTGAGATTTTAGAGTAGCCATGTTAGGTCCTTTCTTACTGTGATGGTTATTTGCAGTCCTGGGAATAAAAAGGGGTAGATGCTACAGAATGACCCCTTAGCGGCTGAAGAACATAGTCTTGCTGTGTATCAGATCTTATAGGAGGAGAACCCCTGAATTGAGTTTGATTAACCTCTCAGTAGCTTCTTTCCTTAATACCTTCTTTCCTTAGTTCTCTTCAGATCTAGAACTGGCTGGGGATACCCCTCGAAAGATTTCTTGTGGTCTTATGTATTTCTTATCAAAAAAAAATTAGTCTTTATCCCAGAATAAATCTCCCAAGGTGTATTGAATGCATGTACTCTAATGGTAAGGAAGTGAGGAATATGTTTCAGTGTAATGTAGGATATTTCAGATGGCTGGTTACTTAGGATTCCTCAGGAAATGATGAAACTGAATTTAGCTCAAGCATACCGCCTCTGTGTCCTGCCTGATTATAGCCAAAAAAGGCAACTGGTTAGATTCTGGGAGTTGCATAGGCAGGAAACTGTGTAATGGAGGGTAGAGCACAGCTGTTGCTTTGCCAAACCTGATACACAGTTGAATATTCATTTCTTTTTTTTTTTTTTTTTCCTTTTCCCCTCCTTCCCTCCACTCCCTTTTCTTAACCCTTTGACCACAAACTGCAGATGATACTCTGCAATGCCATGGAGTCTCAGTATCTTTTGTGGAATTGTTAGTCTTCTCTATTTCCTACGTACTCTGCCAGGCTAGCTGTTGTAGTGTGGTCTTGGAGCTCTCTTGACAGCTCAAATTTTTTCATGGCAGCATCCTGATTGCTACATCTTATTTCTGCAGCAAATCTCTTTGTTGTTTTCCCATTAAAATCTGGATTTTCAATAAAAATATGAAAAGCCAGGGAGAAGGAGTTGCTCTGAGAATCACCATTGTGGTGACTGAGGTGGAAGTGTCAGTGATTCTGTGGGGAAGGAAAGATGAGGTAAAGTGTGGGGTAGCTGCTTGGCGTATCCTGTAAGGCTTAAGACAAAGATTTTTAAATTCAAGCTGAAGGAAATTATTATTTATAGAGTAATTTTCTTTGTTTGCTAAAGAATTTTTGACTGTGAATATACAGCTGTCCGTACAGTCTCTGGCACAAAGTTG